TTTTTTTTTCGGATTTATTATTAGTATGAGTGCTAAATGTAACTTTCTTTAATGTAAAAGAATGGTTTATTGTTTATGGTGTGGAATTGAAAGACTTTCAAACAAAATAACATATTGTCAATCTGAAGGTATTGAAAGATAGTTGATGTTTATCATGCCATTTAAATGGTCATAAATATATCAATCATTATGTTCTTTATATTTTTATGATCTTGTTGAAAAATTGATGAAGAAAAAGAAAATTTATGTTCTGATTGTATTCATCATTAACTCAAATGATACATTATATTGATACTAAAAATCATTCACGATATAAATATAACGAGCAATATATATTATGTTTATTTCGTAAAGAAACTGAAAAAAAATTCTTTTTCTTTATTATATGCAAAATTGTGTACAATATATTGAAATTAATTATGAATTATATTTAATTTGTATGGAATTATTCTATGAAAATTCTTGATGAATGTCAATATCATTTTCATTTAACTTGCATTGAGAAATGATTTAAACGAGAATCTTATGATACATGTTATACGTATGTTTATCAAGTTGACGATGAATTAAGCAAAATAGAATTCTTTTTATGTTTTTAAATAATTATTTTCGTTTGTGTTTAAAAATCAAAAATGGATACATCTTGAATCCTTAAACAATTCTATTTTTATTGCTTTTCCTTTTTGTGAATATGAAGTTAGATATATATTTATCAATATACTACAATGTTTTAGATGAGTTCAATGCGTGCAGCTCCTCCTGTATCCAGTTCAACTTGTGAATGGTGTTCTCAACAAACATTTCGTAGTCAATCAACAAAATTGTGTCAACATAGAATTTGTAATCAATGTATTTTTATTGATAAACAATGTGAATCGGATTGTCCTATATGTTGGTATATAAATGGAGCACAATTTATACATGATAATAGAATCTGTTCTGGTAAGTAAAAACACAACATCATTTCGAGAATCGATCAAAAAAAAGTCTGAAACAAAGATGATACTGATTTATTCGTTATAAAGACTTATTAAATCAAAATTCATTTAAGATCTAATTTAATTCTTAATAAGACGAAGATTATTGTGAATATTAAAACAAAATAGATTATTTATTAATGAATAAAAACATATTCTGAACCAATTTTGATTTTGATTAATTTTAATAATCTAGATTTAATGAATAAAATTGATAATACATTCAATTTTAGTCTGTTGTAATGGAATTAATCCCGGTGATAAAATATTACAATGTTCTAAAAATCATCCACATTGCCCTCAATGCTATGTAGCAGGTTGTGTTTTATGTCAATTTCGTAAATTAAAGTCATGGAGCCAAACTTCTTATCGTGATCTTCCAGCAAGTTCTCAACGTATTCTTTATGTATGTCACATATGGCAAATGAAATTTGAAGAAGTCCAAAAATGTGTGATGAACAGTAATATATTATTGAGTAAAAAAGATCCATCATTAATGGACGTTGATAACAAACAACATGTGTTAGGTTAGTTCCGTTTTAGAATTATATTTGAGAACAATGAAAAAAAAAATTTTTGATTTTTCTTCCATCTCGTTTTGAAAGATTGTGATGATATGAGTCATCGAATGTCTTGTTTTCTTTACTTAGAATAAAAAAAAAAAAATTTTATTTTTTGATAAAAAAGAAGTAGAATGGGTGAGTCAAGCTTGTTTTTTTTTTCTTAAATAAAGAATTGTTTTTATAGGTTGTATTAATTGAAATGAAAAGAATAATTGTTTTTCTATTTTATTTTTTCGAATAGGTCCAGTTCTGTCACTAAAGCATAAAAAAAAGCCTTCAACAGATGAAGAAATCGGTGATTGTATGATATGTCTAGAACATTTGGGCTCATCATATCATAAACTTGACGTATGTGGTCATCTTTTTCATAAATCTTGTATTGATCAATGGTTTGAATCTAATGGAAAACAATCTTGTCCAAGTTGTGGATATGTCTATGGAATTAGTAAAGGTATCGTCAATAAATACAAAAAAAAACCAGCTGTTATAATAATAATAATTATTATTATTATTATTGTTAAGGTTCTCAACCTCCCGATGGTCGCATGACATATAGATACATAAATACACCATTACCTGGATTTGAAAATGAAAATTATGAACATGGACAACCAACTATTGAAATAACTTATTTATTTCCACCTGGTATTCAAGGTTCTCTTAATCCAAAGCCTGGTAAATCTTATCCTGGAACAACACGTAGCGCTTATTTACCAAATAATAAAGAAGGAAATGAAGTGTTACGTTTATTACGAAGAGCATTTGATGATCAACATATATTTACTATTGGAAGATCAGCAACAACCGGTCAAGATAATGTTATTACATGGAATGATATTCATCATAAAACAAATATTCACGGTGGACCGGATCGGTAAAAAAGAAAATCAATATTCATCTAGATCTTTTCTTTGAAATTCTTAATTTTTTTTTTTTTTAGTTTTGGTTATCCAGATCCAACATATTTATTTCGTGTTCGTCAAGAACTTGCCGATAAAGGATATAAATAATCATTCTTTTTCTTTTTTTTATATTTTTGTATTTCTTCTCATAAATATAAAATTAAGTCCGATTTGTGATATATAAATACATATACATTGACATAAAGAAAGAATTTATTATTTTAGATAATAATGGCTGCATCTTATTGGAAAAGTTCTCAATTTGAACAATGGTTGTTTGATCGTCAAGAATTAATGTCATTTCGTCTACGTGATATATCATCATGGTCGACAAATAATAATTCATCATTAATAACAGAAGATGACTATTCAAAAATTCTTATTTTTTATTCAAATATAATTCAACATATAGGTGAACAATATAAAGTTCGTCAGCAAGTTATAGCAACAGCAATTGTCTATTTAAAAAGATTTTATGCAAGATATCCATTAAAAAGTATTGATCCATGGCTTCTTTGTCCAACTTGTTTATTTCTTGCTGCTAAAGTTGAAGAATTTTCTACACTTAATCATCAACGTGTTTGTAATGCAGCTGCAACAACTTATAAAAAATATGCGCATGTATTAAGTAAGATTAAAACAAATAATAACAAAAAAAATCTTTTCTTTTTCTATTTATTAATAACATAATTAGTATATTATTTTCAACATGTTTTATGTAGACTAGTTTGAGAAAATTAACTTCTGTGATATATTTTATTTAAAAACAAAAGAGAATTTCTAATAACTCCGTTAGTTTACTATTTGAAGATTTGCTGCTATGTATTGAATCAAGTTCTTGTTTTTTTCTGCTTCATTCCCGATGAAATGAACACTAAAGAGTAAACAAAATAGAAATAAAGCACAAATAGTTGAGTATGCACACACAAGATTATACATACCTAAATTTACATATGATTTAAACAATGATTCAATAAAGACATCAAACAAAAAAATAAATGATTTAGTTCTATTTTTCGAATAAATATTTATAGGTAAAAGAATACTTCGGTATTGACTTTGTCGTCATTCAGTGAAGTAGAATATGATCGTACTCCAACGATGAATCAAAGTCATAAGAGAGAGAGAGAGAGAGAGAGAGAGAGAGAGAGATAAAATTCGTTGGATCATCAGCCTAGACTTGATCGGATCTAAAGCTTTTCTATTGATTAGATCAGAGTTAAAATCGATATTCGACTCATACACTAAATGTAATTGAGTTTTAACTTATCAAGTTGATCGAAGAAAGAATAAGTTCATTTTTTTTATTCATTTCTGATGACAAAGTCTTGAAGTCCGTTCGCATAGAGAAAAAAGGTCAGAACAGCAACAGTAAGAAAATAATGAAGATAAAAATATTAAAAAGACAAATAATGAGAGAGTGTACTTATTTGATTCGACTTATCTTTGATTGTTTCCTCGGAGATTAGTTCATTGTGTTAAATTCTGTTATGTATAGTCATTTATTGAGAAATTAAAATCAATATACAACGATGAACATAATATTTTCGTTCTTACAAATTATTTTCGCTTTATTTGAACGATGATCAATGTTTAGAATTTTCTATAGGAAAATGATTTGAGCAGAAACATTTAAATAGTCAACCAACATCTTTTCTTTTGACGTTTTTTTTTTAACCAACCTCAATTATTTCTTATCAATCTACTAAAATACAAAGGCAATAAAATAATTGCATTTATTGAAAGTCTATGAGATAAACTGTTGAATGAAAATAGTCTACTCATTTTCCTAGAGTTTTATTTTAATTCAAAAAATAAAAACAAAACAAATAAAATGATTGCGTCGAACTTTTTATGAAATATGATTAAACAGTTAATATAAAGTTTTATTTTAATTTTAGGTGGTCCAGGAGAATATCCATATCAAATAAAACATATACTTGAATGTGAATTTTATTTACTTGAAATAATGGATTGTTGTTTAATAATTTACCATCCATATCGTTCATTAGATATGTATACACGAGAATTTCAAATAGATCAACCATTATTTGAAACAGCATGGCGTATTATAAATGATTCATTAAAAACAGATGCTCCACTTATATATCCACCATATGAAATAGCACTTGCTTGCCTTTTACTTGCTGCAACATATCGCGATAAAATGGCAATACTTAAACAATATATGATTGATGCACAAATTGATGTTGAAAGAGTTTATGAAGTTGTTAAACTTTTACTTAAATATTATGAATTAATGACAACATATGATGCTGATCCACCAAATGATGGAAAACATATTAAAGATCTTTTATCAAAAGTCCCAAAACCTAAAATAATTCCTAATGAATTATCACGTCCATCATCACAACCAAATGAACAACAAATTCAAGGAACAATTGGACAACAAAATAATAATAATAATAATAATAATAATACTAACAACAACAACAACAATAATAACAATAATAATAATAACAATAATAATTGAAATATGAAAATAATTCAGATAGAAAAATCAAATATTGATTTTGTTTTGTTTCTTTTTATAAAAGAAAAAAAAGGAAATTTTGAATAAATAAATATTAATTAGTCATTGTATATTGTGCTTTAGATTGTTTCTCTTATATCTTAATAAATGTCATGGTTACTTAAACAATGAGTCATTTATTGTTATCTTCCTCAAATAATCGAAAAAAACTAATTGATGGTGATTCTTCCACAGCGACTTCAACAACAACAACAACAACAACAATGCCCACCTTTTTTCAATCAAATTTAGCTTGTGTTTTAAATGATCCAAAAAAAACGCGTGCAGAAATTTCAACATTTTTTACTAAAACATGGGGTTAGTTTGATTTATATTTTATTTAAACAAAATAACAAAATAATTTTAATTCTAAGGTAATTCATTTATTGATCGTTTACCTGATCCATTGACACGTCTTGGTGATTATAGTCTTAATGATTTTGAAACATATTTTAATAGTTTACGTAAAAGTGAAAAATATGGTCGACCACGTTTACAACAATATTCATCAAATGATTCAAATGTTTCACAAAAAACAAATTCAGTTATTAACATTCCACAATTATTTCTTTCATCTCAATTTACATTAAGTGATACATCAACATTTAATCTTGTTTTTCCAGGAATTATTCCAGTAAGTCGTTCATTATCTCCATTACATTTTGAACAACAACAACAACAACAACAAAAAACAAGAACAACATCAACAAGTAGTGACCGATCTGAAGGAAATTATAGAAGACAATCAACTTCTTCAACAACTAGTAGCAAATCCACAACCAATGGAACTCTTAGGTTTGTTTCAAATATTAACTCGAATTTAATCGATTTTCCTCTGATAGACGAAAGTTTTTTTTTTTCTAGTCTAATAAAAATGCGATATACACTGTCAAAGAATTTATTTTTCAAAAATATTTATTTAATATATGTTGTTTTAAACGTAAAATTGAAGGTTCGATTATATTTATGCAAACAAAAATAAGGACATAGAAAACAATTTTGGCAAATGTAATCGAGTCTTAGAAAATATATTTTCATAAGATTTATTTTTCAAACAAAGTTTCAACGATAATAATGACTTAAATTCATAAGATATTATTCATGGGTATTATAGTCTGTCGAACCTATCTTCAATTCGGATCTCAATTCGAATTTAAATCAATATTCAATACACATTATAAATTTAATCGAATTTTTCGTAGTTCTACTCTTTTTATTGAAAAAGAAGATTTCAGTTTATTTGAAAGAAAAACGAACGAAAGTCTACTTTTTTTTTATTATAGTATTTGCATCTAATTATTATAATAAATACTAAAATGGAATTTTTCGAATTCACTCTGAATTCTGATCCAAAGAACTCTACTGAAAATACGATTTTAAATAGAAAAATTTCGATCCGATATGCTCTTTTAGATACTATACATATTCTAATAATCTACAAGTTTATTTGTTTATTATTAATTTTAATCATTTAAATTTTAATATAGATTCTAACAATTTTATTCTATCGAATTGTAAAACTTACTAATTATGGTTATATTAATAGCAAATTTAATTCATTAGGTTCAATTGTTTTTGAGTAATATCATAAAAATTCTTTTTTGTTATTGATTGATTTAAAAAAGAAAATAAAATTATTAAGATAATTAATTTTTTAAAGAAAAACAAACAATCTTGAACTTAATGAAGATTTTGAAGATAAACTAAAATAAAATTTATCTAATTTGTTTAGTGTTATTGTACAAAATTCTTCATCACCAAAACATTCAATAAGTTCTACAACACGTTTATTACAAGATAAATATACCCATTATTTAGATGAAGTTGAATTATTAATAACTCGAGCATTATCAACAAAATCTCATTGTTTTCATGATGCTGTTCGTTCTCATGATGAAATTCAATCATTTTTAAATACAACACGTCATGCTATATCATCACTTCGTGGTGAATTATCAAATTATGATTCTCAATCATTATTAACACTTCTTCGTCTTTATCGTTTACTTCGTCAAAGACAAAATCAAAGTAAACTTCTTAAACGTTTAGAATCATTATCAGTTGTTAAACAAACTCATATGCAAGTTCGAGCTTTATTAACAACAAGTGATTATTTATCTGCTTTGGATTTAATTGATGAAACACGAGAAATTATTTCAACACAATTAAATGATCTTATTTGTTTAAGATTTTATGATACACAATTAAATGAATTTTATTTATTAATTGTTAGTCTTATGAGACAAGAATTTGGACAATATTTAACTAATCAATTATTAACACAACAAGGTTTTTTATTTTATTTTGTTTTATTTTTAATAAATTATTTTTTTTTTTTAATTTAGATTTAACATTATCAAATGATTATATTGAAGAAGATAAATTGATAACAATTCTTATTGGATTAATTCGTGTGAAAGATGAAAAATATATGGATGAAATTCGATCAAAATTTGAACAATTTATGTTGGATATTATTGAACGAGCAATATCATCAAATTCAAAAGATACTGCTTTAGATAAATCAAATAAAACAACAATTAAAAATAACAGGTTATTTAACAAACAGTTCAAAAAAATTTTCAAATAGAATTTTCTTTAAAAATAAATTTCATTCAGAAATTCTCAAGAGAATAAAACAAAACTTAGAGTCCTTCACGAATGGATTTTGTTATTTTTCAATCCCATAGACGTTATAGAAATTCCTACTTGTAAAAACTTTGCTACGATATAGTGGCTTTTTATGAGTCTTGATTGTTAACAGTAGATAAACTTGGTTTTTATTCTTACTATGAGATATTCATGTATGTTTCTATTCATTCATAATAATTACATTTATATATATCAGACAAAAGTTAGAACTTCATCATGCATCAAGATATATATATAAATCACAAAACCTATAGAAATAGAACGGCAAAACAACTTCTTCAGAAAGTTTTTTTGGAAACAATTTACTTTCGAATCAAAACAAAGTCATGTTAGACTAATGTGAAGCGAGAATGCAAGAAGATTAAGTAAAAAAATGGATATCTCAACAACAGTAGTAGTTAATAATGTGTACTTTTTAGATGTTGAGGAAGATTTTCGAACATATTGTTTTTTTCTAATATATCTAATTATTGAAAAAATATTATAGATTATCACATGTTATTTCTATAGACTTCTCATGACCAACGAGATGAATTTAGTGAACATTTCCAAATATGAAACCAATTAAAACAGCTCAAAATACTAATATCTTGAATTTTTTTTTAAATAAATGCTTTGAATTGATAGTTGTTTTTGAAATAATTCTATATATCTTATAAAAACACTTCTTGTTTGATTGTTATAAATTGCAAATGAATAACTTTCGTTTTCGAGATATTTTTTCATATGAGAAGAGCTAATGAGCAGCAACTAGAAAAAATAAACATCCATAGAAGATCATAAATGTCATATTTATCGTTTAAATAGTGTAAATTTTGTCTATGCGATATCGTAGAAGTATGTTTTTACATTAGAAGAGATCTGTTGAATACTATATCTCATTGGTCTCAAATTCAGTTCGAAACTTTGATGTTTTTTGCTCGTTTATATATTTTTTTTCATGCAATAAAAAGAACATTTGTTAT